ATTTTTTTCGGTTTACGATGCTAACTTTCCTAATGTTACTCATACATCAAAAACTAAAAACATAAATAATCCTTGGGTTACCAAAGGTTTCAAAAAATCATCAAAAACTAAGCAAAAGTTATATATAAAATACCTAAAAACAAAAACTCCTACAAGCGAAAAAAATACAAAGAATATAAAAATTTATTTGAAAAAATCCGGAAAAGTTTAAAAAAAAACTACTATTCAAATTTGAGTAATGAAACAAAAAATAACCTAAAACGCACTTGGCAAATACTAAAAGAAATAATTGGGAAACAAAAAACATGCTCAAGTTTTTTACCACACATGCTTAAAATCGATAACAAAATTTTATACAATCCAAAAATTATAGCTAATGAGTTTAATAAATATTTTTTGTTGAAATTGGTCCAACCCTATCAGATAAAATTCCAATTACCAAAACTTCTTTTCATGATTTTTTAGCACCTCTTGATAAAGGCATTTGCTCAGATGAACTATCGTCCGAATTATCCTTTGAAGAGTTTGAAAAAGCTTTTAAAACCTTAAAAAAAAATAAAGCAACTTGGCCTGATGAAATAAACGGAAATATAGTTATAGATTGCTATGAACAAATTAAAAATATTCTTTTTAAAATCTACAAAGCATCCATCCAACAAGGAATTTTCCCTGAGCGCTTAAAATTGCTAAAATTATTCCAATTCACAAAGAAGGCGACAGATCCAATATCAATAATTACCGCCCCATTTCTATCCTATCTGTATTCTCCAAAATCCTAGAAAGAATTATGTTTAACAGAGTTAAAAATTATTTTAATTACAATAACCTACTATACAATAATCAATTCGGCTTCAAAAAAGATAGTTCAGCTGAGCATGCCATTATTCAATTTGTACGCAACATCTCCAAATCCTTTGAAAAAGCTCAATATACATTAGGTATTTTTATAGATCTATCAAAAGCATTTGATACGGTTGACCATAATATTTTAATACAAAAAATGAAATATTACGGTTTAAACAATAATACTTTAGCGTGGTTTAAAAGCTATTTAACAAATCGTAAGCAAGTAGTCTATAGTAATAATGACGTTCAAAGTGGATCCTTAAATATAACCTGTGGTGTTCCACAAGGTTCTATTCTTGGACCACTGCTATTTCTTATATATGTCAATGATCTAAACAAAGCCTCTAACCTGATGAGTATTATTTATGCCGATGACACTAACTTATTTCAATCCCACACTGATGTTTACAAACTTTTCTTAAAAACTAATAATGAACTTATAAACATTTCTAAATGGTTTAAATGTAATAAATTAACGTTAAATACTAACAAGACTAAATGGATTCTTTTTCATTCCTTCTCAAAAAAACGTTCTTTACCAGATATTATGCCTCAAATTTATATTGATGAAACTCTAATAAAAAGAGATTCTGTTATAAGATTCCTAGGTGTTTATCTTGATGAGAATATTACTTGGAAAAACCATATTAATCATGTAACCACCAAGGTATCTAAAAATATTGGCTTTTTGTATAAAGCCCGACCTTACTTAAGCAAAAAAAGCCTTACGCAGCTCTATTACTCATTCATACACAGCTATATAAACTACGCAAATATTGCATGGGGTAGTACCGAAAAAAGTAAACTACAACGTCTATATCGCCAACAGAAACATGCGATTCGCGTGATTAATTATGTGGATTGCTCTACACATTCAAAGCCTTTCTTTGATGAAATGAAAATACTTAATGTCTACAAACTTAATGTTTTCAATGTTTTATGTTTTACTTATATGTGGAAAAACAATTTATCCCTACCTGTTTTTAACGACCTTTTTACGTTAAAACTTACTAATAAGTACTCACTAAGAAATAAAGATTTGCTAAATGAACCATTTTGTAGAACAAATTTTAATAAATTTTGTATTAATTATAGAGCACCTTACCTTTGGAATAAAATAGTTCTGCCTAATTTTGATCCTTTTATCCGTTTTTCTGTTTTTAAAAATGAATTAAAAAAATTCATTCTTGCTATGGATGACATTTTAAGTTACTATTAGCTTGAAGTATAAACTTGATTTATGAGATTTATAATAATATTTATATTAATAAATTTATTTTCTTTAATTTATATCAGATCTATAAAATTTATTATTATGGATTATTATAACAAATTTGTGAGAATTATTATTACAGATACGTGATTAATATTATGAATTTATTATTATATATTTATTATTACGGCCGTTTTTGGATTTATATTTTCAGTTTTATTGGTATGATAAAATTGTAAAGGTTCTGATGATAAGATCAGTAGATCTTCTTTCAGAAGCCTTGTTTTCTTTGTTCTTGTAAAATATAGTATTTATTTTACGGCAAATGTAAACAGAAAAAAAAAAAAAAAAAAAAAAAAAAAAAATTTATTTCTGCACAGTTGATATTAAAATCGCAATCTTAAATATTTAAAGGGATTATAAATACAACAGCACATTCCAAAATTGATTTTTGTTGATTATAAAAGCAATATTTGTGCATAAGGGACGTATTTTTACTAAAACTAATATAAAGTCAGAATAGACATGTTGGTCTAATCACTTTTTCGCCATAACCAATATTTATGAAAATATGACCGGTATGCTATCATAGGCACTGTTCCCCTATATATATATATATATATATATATATATATATATATATATATATATATATATATATATATATATATATATATATATATATATATATATATATATAATATATATATATATATATATATATATATATATATATATATATATATTTATATTTATATATATATATATATATATATATATATATATATATATATATATATATACATATATATATATATATATATACATATATATATATATATATATATATATATATATATATATATATATATATATATATATATATATATATATATATATATATTTATATATATATATATATATATATATATATATATATATATATATATATATATATATATATATATATATATATATATATATATATATATATATATTACACTATGATATATATATTACAATGATGTCGATGTATTTATAAACATTATATAAAAAAAGTGATAAATTATTTTTACAAATTTCTTCTCAAACTGAGCAAAAAAACTTAATTAATAATGTACTAAAATAAGTAACCAAAACTCGAGGATTTAATCATTAATCGTATATACACAAACTTTATACACTATAACACTAACCTTATTTAAAAATTCAACTTACCGCAGTTTGTCCAATCAAACTCCAGTTGCGTTTCGATATTTACTCCAAAGTAACATTTCACTTGAAGAATGCTATTGCAAATTAGCAAAAGAATAACCAATGCAAAATTTGAAGACATGTCAATGCTTTAATTTTTCGTTCTTTAATTTTTAACAATTACAAAACCTATTAAGTACTAAAAAAAATGTCATTAGGCATTTAGAAACTAGTAATTAACTTTCATCGTAATTCCCTACAATATCATTCATGTCATACTGAGGACAATTTTCAAAGTTAAAATTGAAAATGGGAAAAGTGTAAGGCATATTGAAGTTGGACAAAACGATTTTATTACCATGTGTAATACAAAACTGATTAAATTCTTCAAAACATAGAGTTCTTATCTTTAAGTGTATATTTATTGGCTTTATTTAAATTTAAATAAAATTTAATAAAACTTAAATAAAATGAGTTATGGTGCTCTTTAGTGGGTCTTGGTAATGTGGCCTCTCTATGGCAATTAGCCGGAGGAGGATAAACCAGGATACCTATTAATTGGCTTAAAACAAAAGAAACATTTAAAAATGGATAAAAATATGTAATTTGTCCACGTATAAATAAAGCATAAAATATTAAAAGCAATGTATATTAAGGACTTTAATTTCAACAAAAAATGGTTTGGAAAAAGTAAATCAATCAGCCAAATTTTTTAAACAGATTGCATATTTCTGTGGGCAATAAGGACAATGTAACTTTTTTCACGCATGGTTTCAACGTAATTTAAGTTAGGGATAAATAAGTTATAAAGTTGAGTTTTTTGTTTTAAATAAATTTATTCTAGCTTTGTATCAAATTCCAATATTTTTTAAAAGTTTTTTTCTAATACACAGTGATCAGATATAACTTAAAATTTTTTTTCAAAAATATTTATAATTGCTAAAAACTTTCTATGGGGTGAAAAAGAAAAGTAGACTAAAAATATTTCAAACAGGGTCAAACATGGTCAGGGAGTAAAAGAGAATTTTTTTGTAGCCCTCTTACCCCTCAAATATAAATATCAAAAATAATTATTTAACGTGATCTATAATAGGGGCGGACAGACATTTTAGGATGCGGGCAAAAAAAAGTTAAAAAAAAATGTTACGGTAAAAAAATTTATTTCTACGAAAATATAGATGATCCATTACTATTATAATCATTTGTATCAAAACAATAAAATTATTAAAAGAGATGACCTTGACCATCTGAAACTAGTTTTTTGATGTCTGGATTAATTTTTGAGATAGATAGAAATATCACATTACCAAGACGGTTGTCTCCTAAATATTCAAATAACGGGCATTTAAAAAAGTCTCTGCGGGCATTTTATTTTTGTCGCGGGCAGTGGTTTGACCACCACAAATCTATACGTTTAATATTGCACCTAATTGAAAAATAAATAAAAAATAAATATATCAACATCATTGTTTTATTGATTATTTTTATAAACATTTTTGTGATCTATTTCGTCAGTAACTAATTCAAAGTTTTGTGTGGTATTTTTATTAGATTTTTAAAAGCCAATGGTAGTTTATTAGATTTTTAAAAACCGATGGTAGTTTATTAGATTTTTAAAAACCAATGGTAGTTTATTAGATTTTTAAAAACCAATGGTAGTTTATTAGATTTTTAAAAACCAATGGTAGTTTATTAGATTTTTAAAAACCAATGGTAGTTTATTAGATTTTTAAAAACCAATGGTAGTTTATTAGATTTTTAAAAACCAATGGTAGTTTATTAGATTTTTAAAAACCAATGGTAGTTAATTACATTTTTAAACAAGTTCTAGAGAGCATTTTGATAATTGAATTTTTTAATTTTACTTCTACCTTGAAAAGTTATTATAGTTGATATATTGGACCCCTAATAATAAAAAGATAGAGAAGTTGGTCCTCAGTTGTATGGAGTCTTGCGTCTTTTCTTGAATGGCGAAGTCTGAATTGTTTATTATCTTTATTTCTAGATTCTTAAGCCTCTTCTGAATATAATTCGATTGGAAACAAGAACTTTAAAATTATTTCAGAACTATGAAGCAATAACTTATCCATAAATACAGGCTTTTAAAACAAACTTACTTCTCAAAATAAAGCTTTTCTGTTTTAGTGCAATTATCACTAAATTTTATTGTAGCTATCTCATAACTTGAATTTATTATGTTTAAAATGTTTACTAAACATTCTATTAATACTTTATCCATGCCTGTAATAGAAGAAATAAATCGAAATGTTTAAGTGCTTGTTTAGCAGTGTTTCCATCATTTGAAGTTTCTAGAACCCCCTTGCATAAATTTATCCATAATTCTTCAATAAATTTGTTTTGTATGTTGTTGTTTTTTTCACTAACTTCTTTGCCGTTATCACCACAAATTTTCTATTTTGTTATTATTTCAACTCTGTAAGAAATTTGACATAAACAATCAAAGTACCTTATTCGAGGGTGGAACGAAGAAAGCACCTTATTCGAGGGTGGAACGAAGAAAGATCAATTTTATCTATAAAAGAGGTTTTAGTTGTTATTGAGCCACGTGCAATAGAATTCAGTTGTTTAGGAGAAGACGAACATATATTGCAAACAAGTTGTGAAGAAATTGAGCGTATTGTATTGGCAACTTTACCATCTAATCACTGTTAATTTTAAATTAAATTGAACTTTTATTACAATTACCTTTAAATCATTTATCAGGTCAAACTCTGAATCCTCTTGTAAATTTAATTGATTTTGAATATATTCTTTTTCAAATCTCAAAACAGAGTCTGATTCCTTTAGATATTGAACTCCTATTGGTCGGCAAAATTTAATCGCCGATTTTTGACTTATAGGATTTGTCGAAACAGATATGTTAAACTTTTCATTTTTATTCATATTAGCTACTCTATTGGGTTGACTGAGAGAAGAAACTAATTGGTTTAAAGAAAAATACAGACTATAGAATTAACTTATCCTTTAACTTACTACAGCAGATAAGATCTTATAGGATTTGTCCAAACAGATATGTTAAACTTTTCATTTTTATTCATATTAGCTACTCTATTGGGTTGACTGAGAGAAGAAACTAATTGGTTTAAAGAAAAATACAGACTATAGGATTAACTTCTCCTTTAGCTTACTACAGCAGATAAGATCAATTAGAAGATATCACATAACCTACCCTAAGGTAGAAACTTTTTTTTTTAGTGTGTATGCTCTATTTCCATTTTTTTACTTTTTTTTCTATTTTTGATCAGTTGCTAAAAATAAAAAAAACACCTGGAAGAAAATGTCTGATCAGATATTTTCTTCCAGGTGTTTTCTTTTCACTTTGATATGTTATTATATTAAAAGTTGACTCAATGGAATGCTGTTTTAATTTTTTTCGAATAACTAGATTTGATTCATACCAACTTGTTTCTTTAATTTCAAAGCGATTACGCTGTCGATTATGATTATAAAGTTTCTTTTTATATATACATATATATCAGGGATGCGGAGTCCCAAAAAGACTCCGGCTTTGTATCTTTATTTTTTCTGGGTCTGTAGTGTCCTAAAACTCTAAATATTTTTGTTAACTTATTGTTTTTAAGCCCGGAGTCCTGGAGTCCCGGAATTCTTGACACCATTATACGTAAGGACTCCAGGTTCAAAAAATGACTGTTTCTCTTACTAAAAGTCTTAATTTTTTTGTTTTATAAAAGTAAAGATTTATAATAAATATATAATTCCATAAACTTTTTTATATTTTTAGAGCTCCTGGATACCAAAAACTATGAAGATGTAATTTTTTTGTGACTTTCATATCGGGCATCCTTTTTGGGACTTCGCATCCCTGATATATATATATATATATATATATATATATATATATATATATATATATATATATATATATATATATATATATATATATATATATATATATATATATATATATGTATTGTTTTATATTACATTTCAACACATTTTGTTAATATTTCATAAAACTTAATATAAACAATTAAAAGTAAAGATTTATAATAAATGTATAAAAAAAGAACACGGAAACTCGTTAAAGACCGTAAGGTCTTGTCGTCGTTATACAGAACCGCTGTAAAATTACGTGTCATATATTTACATCTTAAACTTTTAACGTAGTAAATATAAAGAATTTCAAAAGGTTTTAAATGTTTATTTTTATAATGTCAATTTCAAAAACTACTTCTTTCAACTTTTTTGTAAAAGATATGTTATTCTACTTAAAAGAAAAATCAAAGTTATTTAACACAATTATGTTCATAATTATGTTCAACGATAATGTTCAATGATATGCAAAATTAACTATGATTAGTTTCCGAAAATGGTTGCATCAAAAAATCATAATTTCGTAAACCAAAATTGTTTTTTTTCGTTATTATAAATAAACTATGAAAAAGAAACGTAGATAATTTCGTTTTACATTTGTACATAAAACAAAGAATATATTAAACAAAGAAATTTCTAAAGTTTTTTAAATGTGTACATGTATTTGAGGACGATGAAGAAGATCTAGTTTACTTTTGTTAGTACTGCCCCACGATATATTTACATAGTTGGTATTTACATAATTGGTATTTACATAGTTGGTATTTACATAGTTAGTATTTACATAGTTGGTATTTATATAGTTGGTATTTACATAGATGGTATTTACATAGATGGTATTTACATATATGGTATTTACATAGATGGTATTTACATAGATGGTATTTACATAGATGGTATTTACATAGATGGTATTTACATAGATGGTATACCATCTATGTAAATACCATCTATGTAAATACCCTCTATGTAAACACCATCTATGTAAATACCATCCATGTTAATACCAACTATGTAAATACCATCTATGTAAATACCAACTATGTAAATACCCACTATGTAAATACCATCTATGTAAATACCATCTATGTAAATATATTTACATAGATGGTATTTAGTTGGTATGGCAGTGAATAAGTTAATAGTTATTATGCAGTTAGAAAACAGTTGCGCGAAAGTGCAACTGTTGCACTTATTTAAATGGCTTTTTGATTTTAAAATAGTTAGCTGATAACCTTATTTAAATTAGGTTACTCAAAAAACTGTGTTTTACCAAATTTTAAGTGTTTCTAAATCACATCATGGACCGTATCTTTGGAACAAAATTGTCTTGAATAAATTTGA